AGGGAAAGTAGTAGACTTGGAGATTTGCCTCTTAAAAAGAGTATTTCTCTAGGCCAAGGAACACAGAAGGAGCAAGTAATTAGCTTGGGTTAAGACTTGTTCATGGTCATAATATCCTTTGTTTGTGTCCTCTTGTATGATTTAAACTTTCCTGTGTATTTCAGACAAGAACTTTTTTTATGCCCATCTAGATAAAATTTCCTTTCCTGGTTGCTGCCACACTGCTTTACATATCTGTGGAATACAGTTTTTTCAGTGTCTCTACTGCATTTTTTAATAAACCTGCAGCCTTTAGGCCATCCCTTTTCAGCTCCCACTGCTTTTCTTCACATTGCCAGGCATGAGGAGAAAGTTGCAGCAGGGCTTGATCGTGTAGCTTAGTATCATTTGACTTAGTATTCTGGCCTGGGGAAAGACTGATGGACTTCCTTGGGTTGATTTTGATGATCCCAGTGTCCTTAGAGCACCAGTGAAAGGAAAAGTCAACATCCCAAAAGTTACAGTGTCTCAGCTGACGGCTAAAAAACTTAACAACTCTGTTGAGTCTAATAAATTATTTAGTCAGCTTACACTTTGGGGGAAGAAAAAAAAAAGTGAGCTATGTCTCACATCTACTGAATGTCCTTTCTTTCTGAAAATAACACGAATAGCAGCTCAGAGTGTGCCTGCATTGACACACACCTGGTTGGTTATGCTTGGCCCACAACTCTACATGTTATGTGTTCAACATATGGCACAAAGCACATGAGAAGATTCTGTGTGATTAATAAAGGCTGTACATCTATGCAGGGTGACAGCAATTAAGAATATATGGAAAACTGGAAGTCTCTTGCTCTTCCTGACTTCTGGAAGTTTGGTTTTAAAACCAAAATCCTTTTCTTCCAGTGTACTTCAGAGGGGAGAGAATCACTTTGGCTCAGTGCAATGAAAACAGGATGGAGCAGAGGTGCTCTAGCAAATCCTGTTTTACAAATCCTGATTAAAAACTGACTCAATTGGTACAAGAGCTGGCAGTGTTGCTGTTCACTCACTCCATGTGGATGTCTTGTGTGAGGGGGTGTTCCTGCTTACTCTAGCTGCCAGGCTGTGATGAGAGGGGATGTAGAGGGGGTACTTCAGCTTGTGGTTTCATGTGAAAGGCAAGTGGACTTCCAAAGGTTTGTGAGGATTCTGGGAGCAGGACCAGTCACAGGTGAAAGCTCCTTCCTTTTTTCTTCTTCCCCACTTGACAACTGCTCCAGCTGTTCCCATGAGAGTGGGACTGGGAGCCACAGCTGCTTAACCTCGCTTACCTTCAGTTGTTGCTTGGGGAGGCTGACAAAGGAGGATCTAACCAGCAAAGTTCCAAAAAGTATGAAATTATGTTTAGAAGCACTGTTAGGGGCTGTATTGTATGCATAGGGCTTGGTCCTAGCTCCCTCTAGTGCATGCAGGTGGGCAGACGTATGTAAAACACCTGACTTAAAATATTAATACAGTACTTGTGTGTAAATCTATACATAGTTCGGAGATCTTTAACAGAGCTTTTATTACTGCTGTAGCTGGTGGACTAGCAGTACTCGAGCAAACGAGGGAACTGTTACCACTCAGCTTCACTCACAGGTAGCTGTAAGATTTCACAGATGGTGATCTATCCTGACGTAACTTGAGAGAGGTGATATTCTGAATGCTGAAACTGAATTTCAATTTTTAATAATGCTAACAATTGTTTTGGGGACCTTTAAATTACTGAATAGAAAACCTTACTATTGCTTCATTTTCATATAGGAATTGGTGAGTCCTACAGAGATTAAGAGGTTAGGGCTCAGGCCAAAATTAAGATACCTAAGTGATGGTGTCTGAGTATGGGTGTCTAGATGCAAGCTACAAGTTTATGTGTCCATTTTAGATTGTGAAGGTTTATCAGCACAGTGAGATGAAATGGCAGAGAATATTCTGGCTCACCCTTCAGAAGTCACGCGGGGGTTGATTCAGTTGCCTAAACATGTGTCTACTGATGTTTATGATTGACCTAAGATAACCTTGGATGTCTAGGTTGCTCAAGACATTTTGACAAGCTTGGCAGATGCAGTTCAAGACCTGCAGACAAATATGCCCACTTCTAAACTGGAAGCTGGATGGCAGGCAGGAGA